CCAAATGGGCCTCTCAGGAAGGCATTAGATCTTGAGAATCTGTGACTGCATGCAAGTGTTAGTTTATCTGAAGGTAAAGGGCATGATCTCTTTCTCCTTGGGCTTAGAATCCTGATTCTTTTGTAGCCTGATTCTCATGAGTCTGTTTACATTTATCCTCCTACGGTCTAATCTCCACTCAGTCAAGGTCTTTCTAATTCACTCTCTGGAATGAGGAAGTTAGTTCTTAAAGTACTAAAATATTTTTAGAAAGTTTTAGCCAGGTGTGGTGGCACACCTAAGGCATCTATTATGACTTGTGTTATAAAGCTGAGTTCTCTGGTGGAGGAAGGTTCTGAATTTGCCACCTTCCAGATCATTTACATTGTATAGAAAGAAGGTCCTCAATTCATGTTATAAATATACATAAATGAATAAATGTCTAAATGTGTGCTTTGAAGATGATCGAGGTTCATTAGCTTCAAGCCCCAACAAAATTATTGTCTGGTAATAAGGTTATTTTTTTTTGCTCACTTACTGAGAAAAAGATTTTCAGTAGCACAGTATAGATGATGGAAAATTTAACATAAAGCTATTCTCATCATAAAAATGCTACATACCTTTAGTCCCAGCCCTTGAAAGGCAGAGACAGGAGGATCTTTGTGAGAGCAAGACCAGCCTGGTCTACATATGTGTTCCAGGCAAGCTGGGACTACAGGGAGACCCCTCCCCCCAAAAAAATTATAATAAAGTTATTGGAAGGGACTCCTTCATTTTGAATATCATAATGCCAAGATAGTCATAAGAATTAATATTTTGACCATAATAAAATACTATAATGACTATCATGTCAGCAATTGCATTAGTGGCTTTCCTGTATTTTCTAATTGAATCCTGGTGTCAGTAATATCAGGTAGTGTTCCTTTCTCCTTCTAAATTTGAAAAAAAGCTCACAGATGTTAAAAAAAATCTCTTCTCAAGGTTAAATAGTAAAAGAAAGTAAGAATTTAAAATTAGGAGCAGGAGAGATGACTCGGTGGTTAAGAGCACTAGCTGCTCTTCCAGAAGGGTTCCCGGTAACCCCATGACAGCTAACAATCATTCATAACTCCAGTTCCAGGGGATCCAACACCCTCTTCTGACCTCTAAGGGCACTGCATGCATGCACATAGTATATTTACATACATGTAGGCCAAACACTCATATACATAAGACTTAAAAATTAATTATTTTTAAAAGAATTTGAAACCAAAGATATCTGAAGATGTTATTCAGTATAATTATTTCCATGTGGAACATCACTATGTTGCAGGAGTTAACAAATAAAATCTCAGTGTAGAGCTGGAAAGGTGGCTCAGTGGTTAAGAGCACTTGTACCTCTAGCAGAGTAAAGCAGGAATTGTTCCCAGCACCCATGTCAGATGGCTCGCACCTGCCTGTAACTCCAGCTCCAAGGGATCCAACGCTCTCTTCTAGCCTCTGGGGGCACCCACACACATCACACACACCCACACACATCACACACACACACACACACACACACACACACGTCTTTTTTTAAAATTTTAGTGTGCCTAATATCTGAGTACACAGCCTCTTCTGTTGTAGGTAATCTTTTGTATCCTGGAAACTTGGCAAAATCTACTCAGGGTTCCTTATCTTAATACGTCAGTTATGGTGCCAGAAAAGACTTCTCTGGTACTTACTAGATAGAGACTAAAACTGTTCAATAGAAACACAAAATAAGCCATATATATCTAACTTAAAATTGTGCAGCTGCAATACTGAAAAAGGAAAATGAAGAGATAAAATGGCTCCTCATAGTATTTTAATTAACCCAGTGAATCCAATGTATGATTATTTTAATGTGTAGTCAAGATGAAAACCCTGAGTAGATTTTGTTTTACTTCCTAGGAAGTCTCCAGTATCTGCTATGCATTTTTCATTTATAATTCATCTCAAGTTTTGACCTGGATGAGCTATGCTTTAAGTGTCTGTTAGGCACATGCTGCTCCTGTGTTGGTTAAGCACAGACCAAACTTTGTATGTAGACCGTTTTCAAATGTTGAAGAGAAATAAGACTTTAGTCTGAGGCCATTAGGTCAATTGTGTGTGTGTGTGTGTGTGTGTGTGTATCTGTGTGTGTATCCTAACTTAATGTATATACGAACTTTATGGATTTAATTTTCTAAGCTAGCAACATAAGTTGAAGAGAAACCGAAGTGATTGTTTCAACCTTTTTCACACTAAATTCACAGGAATGACCCGGCCAAAGGATGATGTTGAGACAGCGCCATCTTGTGGTGTTTTGTTTAAATGGTGGAAGCAGAATTGGGGGTTGGGGGACAACTCCAGAGAGCTAGGGCAGGGATAGATACTAAGCTGCTTTCCAGGAGAAACCAACAGTCATATACACATTGTTTACGGCAGATCCTCAAGTTGCACGATTGGGCATGACAAGCTTCCTAGACAGATCATAGAAACACTCATCTCCAGGTACCTGATAGCACTCCAACTCCTCAGAGCATGGTAAAGTAGGCCTCCATGCTAACACGTGAATATGACATATGCTTCCATGAAATGAGCGACACTCAAGAACATCCAAAAAAGACCACTACAGATTGGCATGCAGAGGTTTTAGCAGAAACACTAAACTATAATTCCCAGTACCCATGACAACAGAATTAACACAGGACTGCCAAATCTGAACTTTCTTCAGAAGAAAGCCCTCAACCAAGTTGCATCTGTCATTCCAACTGATCAAAACCACACAGGATGACCAGGAACGAGCATTTGAGAACAGGCTGCTCTCTCACTTGGTCAGAGGGGCTGCATAAAGGAAGTCACTGTCAGGCTGAACTCCCACCCAGACCTTGGTTGGACAGGGCCAGCCTCTTCTGAATGTAGTGTGTTCTTGCCGCAACATGAACCAATTAGGGAATTTTATGATCTACATTTTATTTAGATTCAGTTCAAAAAGCAGTCTCCCTGAATGTTACATTTCAGTAAACTTTAAGATAGCGCTATGACTTTAAACATACATATGTATATGTTATATACTATATACCACAGTAACCATGAAAATACTAACATCTAGAGTTCTACATCTTAATTTAAGGCACATTTCACAAGAGGAGCCCATATCTGGAACTGTTATTAGGGCCAAGAACCTATGGCTAGGCAGGTCACAGGGCCACAGGGGAGAACCCACTATTATTCTGCTAAATGGACATATTAAACAAACTTCTAATGATCGTTACACCCACAGACTAGTGCATCTCTCAATCACCAGAAAAGCTTCTTGAAGCAGATGATTAACAGAGACTCAAAAAGTCAACATGCAAAAAAATCAGACTGTGTAGAGTTCAGTCCAAAATGGGACACCTACATCACACCCTCTCAAGGCTCAAGGGAACATTGCAAAAAACTGGAAAGATTTTAGGTCAAGTGGTAGAAGCCATGTTGTCTGGACACCACAGGGCAGTCGCACATATGAACACCCACAGTGTTCGGGACAGCATGCATAAGACCTGTGCAAACCCAAACCCAACAAAAGCCCAGCATGGATGTGGGAGGTGGACCAGAAGCCCCAGCTCTAGCTGGATCTATGGACTGTTAATAACTGCTGGAAGAGGGAGAGTCAGCTTTAAGAGTGTGACACCTGGTAGGGTGACCAGACTTCAAGGGATGAACCCACAACACAGAGCATAGGGAGAAAATGAATTAGACTTGATAGGCTTTTTAAAAAAGAAAAATTGTAATAGAGGATAAGAAGTGAGGGGCAGGATAGTAAGGTGGGGGGAGGGAGACGGGGGAGGGCCTGAGTATAAAAAAAAGTTTGTGTGACATTCTCAAAGAATCAATAAAGTATTCAAAAAATGTTTTTCATCTTTTTAATAGATTGGTCATTATATAGAGTATGTGTCCACAAGACCAGGCCCAATAACCTTCTGGCCTGCCAGTTTTTTGTTTTTTTTTTTTTTGGGTCCCAAA